ACTAAGGAGCAAATGCTTTACACCTTCCAAAGAAACTGGGACAGAAGGGCCTAGGTCAGGGGTGGGCAAACTTTTTGACTCGAGGGCCACAATGGGTTCTTAAACTGGACCGGAGGGCCGGAACAAAAGCATGGATGGAGTGTTTGTGTGAACTAATATGAATTCAAAGTAAACATCATTACATAAAAGGGTACGGTCTTTTTTTTTTTTTTTTAGTTTTATTCATTTCAAATGGGCCGGATCCGGCCCGCGGGCCGTAGTTTGCCCACGGCTGGCCTAGGTCCTGGTCCCTCTTAGATGATGTTCTTTGAAAATAAACTAACCAGATAAAAACTCTGACCCCTCTCTATTCACATTTTGATGAATCAACATATTGAAGGACACACCTGGAAAGCTAATGAATTTTCTGTTAAGACTCCCCTAAGACAGCGGTTCTCAACCTGTGGGTCGCGACCCCTTTGGTGGTCAAACGACCCTTTCACAGGGGTCGCCTAAGACCATCCTGCATATCAGATATTTACATTACGATTCATAACAGTAGCAACATTACAGTTATGAAGTAGCAACGAAAATAATTTTATGGTTGGGTCACAACATGAGGAACTGTATTTAAAGGGCCAGAAGGTTGAGAACCACTGCCCTAAGACCTTGCCTAGAATTCCCACTGTTCAAAGAAAGATTTTTAAAAGCTTCAAGAAAAAGGACTCACGGTGTGCTCTTGCTAGAGCATGCTCATGCCTTAGATCTCTACTTTCTTTCTCTTAAACTCTAATAGTCCCCATGAGACTTGCAACTAGGGGAGCGTTGGGCAGCAGGCAGCTCATCCTGGATTTACCCCCTGATCTTATCACCAAAGCCCCCTTTTTCTCTGACTTCCCAGGGAGCTAACAGCAGCCTCACCTTGGCTCACTTCTTTCCTATGATATTTCTAGGGGCCAAAGTAGCCCCACCCCCACCCCCTGGGCTCTCCTGTTACTTCTACCGTAAGCCTGTCTTTTGTGTCACTGTCCCCAGCTTTAGTAAACGTACTCTCAAAATCACCTGGACTTGTTGGTGAAATCTTTCCTACATGAAGTCAAGAACCCACACACTACAGACCAACCCAAGGCAGATCCCCTTCGGGCCCAGACCCCATGTGGTAGCAGGTTTAACCCAGTGGCTTACTGATGTCATTAGAAATCTGATTTCTTTCCATTTCCCCATGCTGCCTTCCTCAAAATCCACTTCACCCTAAAATCATCTCTCCTTGTAGACACAGGATCATTGCCAATGGCTCCCAGGCCTACATGTTTCCCCCATGAATATCCAGAGATGGTAAATCTCTATCCCAACATTACAACAAGCAACCTGACCTAAATTGGCTTAGATCACATCTTGCGCTTTCCCATGATCCTCACCACCACCCGCCATGGTCACAAACATTGTGGCCTAGAAAACTCAATGCACTGGTTGTGTAAGTTAATCAGACTCCAACCTAAGATACAAATAGTCAGTTTCCCCGAAGCACATGAGCTATGAGGGGAAAGGGTATGTTATAACATAAAAATGTAAGGAATATTAGGAAGAGAGAAGGGGGAAGTAGATGTTGTGTAGGTGACTTGTTAATGTCCAGTATATATCTGCTCCTGGGGAACATAGAAAAGAAAGAAGAGAAACCGAAGATGGCGGCGTAGGTAAACACCGGAGACCGCTGCCGCATACAACCATTTCAAAAATACAACTAAAAGACGGAACGGACATCACCCAGAACCACAGGAAAGCTGGCTGAAGAGAGACTCTACAACTAGAAGGAAAGAGAACAGCAAACCGAGGCTCAGAGGAGGCGCAGTATGGAAAATACAAAGGTACCGAGGTGCGCGAGAAAGCGGGCTGGTGGCTGAGGGCGCGGTTGTCGTTTTCAGTCGGGAGTGAGTCTCAGACTCTGGGCTCCAGATCCGGGCGAGTCTCTAGGGACTCAGACTAAGACGGGAGAAGCGGGATTATCCGGCATCAGTTGGAACCTGAGGGCAGCTTTCTCTCCGAGGTTTGCAGCGGCTGCCGGGGTTCTGAGAAGCAGAGCCTCTGGGAACGGGACTGAGAGCGGCCATAACTGCTCCCCCCGCCCGCCCTGTTGAGCCCGCCCCGCCCAAGCCCTGCGCACAGCCATTTGCCGATCGCCTCAGGCAAAGGCTGGATTAGCACCTTCCCAGAAGACAGACGTTTTCCACACAGCTGATTCCTACAGCCAGTCGGCCTGGTGGTCAAATCCCTCTAGTGTTAACTACAACAATTAAGGCTTGGCTAGAACAAGACTGCGCACAAAGACCACAAGGGGGTGCACCAAGAAAGCATAAAAGATGCGGAGACAAAAAAACATGACAGAAATGGAGGATATGGAGCTAAGAATCGCAATTTTGAGGGCTTGCTATAAACTTGAGCAGAGCCTCACGAAAACTAATGAGACCCTCGATGCTACGATAAAGAAATTAGAAAGTAAGCATACACGGACTGAAATAAAGAATATTATACCCAATATCAGACCAGAGGAGCACAAGAATCAAACCAAAGATTCGACAAAAAACACCCAACTGGAAAAGCAAAATGAAAAAAGAATCCGAAAGTGTGAAGATAGTGTAAGGAGCCTCTGGGACAGCTTCAAGCGTACCAACATCAGAATAATAGGGGTGCCAGAAGATGAGAGACAGCAAGATATTGAAAACCTATTTGAAGAAATAATGGCAGAAAACTTCCCCCACCTGGTGAAAGAAATGGACTTACAGGTCCAAGAAGCGAAGAGAACCCCAAACAAAAGGAATCCAAAGAGGGCCACACCAAGACACATCATCATTAAAATGCCAAGAGCAAAAGACAAAGAGAGAATCTTAAAAGCAGCAAGAGAAAGAGACTCAATTACCTACAAGGGAATACCCATACGACTGTCAGCTGATTTCTCAACAGAAACTTTGCAGGCCAGAAGGGAATGGCAAGAAATATTCAAAGTACTGAATACCAAGAACCTACAACCAAGATTACTTTATCCAGCAAAGCTATCATTCAGAATTGAAGGTCAGATAAAGAGCTTCACAGATAAGGAAAAGCTAAAGGACTTCATCACCACTAAACCAGTATTATACGAAATGCTGAAAGGTTTCCTTTAAGAAGAGGAAGAAGAAAAAGGTAAAGATACAAATTGTGAACAACAAACATGCATCTATCAACAAGTGAATCTAAGAATCAAGTGAATAAATAATCTGATGTACAGAATGAACTGGTGATTACAATGAATCAGGGACATAGAAGGGGAATGGACTGACTATTCTTGGGGGGGGGGGGGGAAGGGGAATGGGAGATGTGGGAAGAGAATGGACAAAAATCGTGCACCTATGGATGAGGACAGTGGGTGGGGAGTGAGGGCGGAGGGTGGGGCGGGAACTGGGAGAAGGGGAGTTATGGGAAAAAAAGAGGAACAAATGTAATCAGAACAATAAAGATTTAATTTAAAAAAAAAAAAGAAAAGAAAAGAAAGAAGAAATGAGAGATCATTATAGACAGAAGGGCTCAGATCCACTTACTGAGTGATACTGTTGTGGTCCCCATGTTCATTGCAGCATTATTTACAATAGCCAAGATCTGGAAACAGCCCAAATGCCCATTGGTAGATGAGTGGACAAAAAAGCTGTGGTGCCCTGGCCGGTGGGCTCAGTGGATAGAGTGTAGGCCCAAACACGAATTGTCACAGATTCAAGGGCACGTACCTGGGTTGCAGGTTCCAATGAAGGCCTCCAGTTGGAGCATGTTCAGGAGGCAGCCAATCTATGTGTCTCTCTCACATCAATGTTTCTCTCTCTCTCTCTCTCTCTCTCTCTCTCTCTCTCTCTCTCTCTCTCTCTCTCCCCACCTTCCTTTCTCCCTTCCATTCTTTCTAAAAATCAATGGGAAAAAAATATGCTCAGGTGAGGATTAACAAACAAATATACATAAAAAGTTTAGAGGAAAAAAAAAGCTGTGGTACATTTACACAATGGAATACTGCTCAGTTGTAAAAAAAAAAAAAAAAAAAAGGAAATCCTTTTGTGACAGCATGGATGGACCTGGAGAGTATTATGCTAAGTGAAATAAGTCAGGCAGAGAAAGACAAATACCATGTGATCTCACTTATATGTGGAATCTAATGAACAAAATAAACTGACCAACAAAATAGAAACAGAGGCATGGATACATGGAACAGATTGACAGCTGTCAGCGGGGAGGAGCACTGGGGGACTGGATGAAAGAAGATGAAGGGATTAAGCAAAAAAAAAAAAAAAAAAAACCCCACAAAAACATATTTACACAGCACATAGACACAGACAACAGTGTGGTGATAGCCAGAGGGAAACAGGGGTGAGGGGGATGGGGGTAGGTGGAGATGGGAAAAGTGGGGGGAAATGGGGACAGAAAGAAATTGCTTGGGATGATGATGGACACATGATACAGTGTGCAGATGATGGGGTTTGTTTAGTTGTACACTTGAAACCTGTACCCCAATACATTCAATTTTAAAACAAAGAAAACCGGCACAGTGATGACAGATAGCCAAGTCAACCTTAGCCCATTTTGAGACTCTGTGCCAGAATTAAAATGATAATACTGTGTGGTTGCACTCTGTGAAGATTTACAGCATACAAATTTGAGCTAATATGATGTAAAATACCAAGTCTCACTTTGTGATACAAATCCCACAAATAAATATGTCTCTTAAGAATGACATGAAAACAAGTAGGGTCTATGTTCCCTCCTTTTGAATCTAGGTGAAAATAATGTTATATTGACATCTGAGCTGCAGTCATAAATGGTGATATAACTTCTACATAGTTCTCTCTGGGGATGCTTGGTCTTAAAACTGAGCCACCATACTGTGAGGAAGTTCAAGTAGCCCATGGAGAGGCCCATATGAAGGAACTATGCCTACTTGTTCACAGACCTACCTGAACTCCCAGCCAACACCCAGCACTAACTTGCCAAGCATGTGAGTGAACCATTTTAAAAATGGATTTTTGCCCTGGCTGGTGTGGCTCAGTTAGTTGGGTGTCAGTTGAAAGGTTGCTGGTTTGATTCTGGCTAGGACACATGGCTGGGTTGCAGGCCTGGTCCCTGGTAGGGGGCATGCAGGAGGCAGCTGACGGATGTTACTCTCTCACTTGATGTTTCTCTCTTCTCCCTTTTTCTCTCTCAAAATCAATAAAACTATTCTTTTTTTAATGGATCTTTAACCCCCTGTTGATCCAGCCCAGATGGTACCACATGGGGCAGAGACATCTCCTCCTGAAAGACCTTGCCAGAATTTCAGATTGTTGGGCAAACTAAATGATTCCTGTTGTTTTAAGTCACGAAATGTTGCAGTTGAATTACATAGCCATGGATAATTGATATAGCAAGCAAACACAGAAAATGACTATACAGACAAATCAAGCTTATAATTCTATAGCTACATACATTATGAAAAAAACACCCAGACATGGCTATCTTTTAACTTTTTATTATGAAAAACATCAAACATATATCAACAATGAACCCCTATACACCATCACCCAGTTTTGACAATTATCACCATTCTGATTCTTATATTATTTATATATCCATCCATTTTCCTACCTGTTCTCAATTACATTTTTTAGGTAAAATTTACATGAATTCAAAAGCACAGATCTTAGCTGTATAATTTTATTATTATTATTTTTTCATATATTTGATTGATTTTTTACAGAGAGGAAGGGAGAGGGAAAGAGAGTTAGAAACATCAATGAGAGAGAAACATCGATCAGCTGCCTCCTGCACACCTCCTACTGGGGATGTGCCCGCAACCGAGGTACATGCCCTTGACCGGAATCGAACCTGGGACCTTTCAGTCCGCAGGCTGACGCTCAATCCACTGGGCCAAACCGGTTAGGGCTCAGCTGTATAATTTTGACAGTGGATACACCCACACCTCACAGTCATTTTCCAAATCCCCAGAAAGTTCCCTTGTTTCCCTTTCCAGCTGTCTTCTGCATCAGTCAAGGTCCAGTCAGGAGACAGAAATCAGACCAGTGATTTAAATAAAGAACATTTATTCAATTCTAACAATTGAATTATAATAAATATTTTAATTCATCTTTACATTGACAACAATTTTAAAAGAACAAGAGTTAACATGTTAAAGAAAACAGGAAATGACAGACCAAATGGGTGAAAAGATGCAGAATTTTCATTGGAATGTATAAGAAGAATCAAAGGAACATTCTAGAACTGGAACACATTCTATCTGAAATGAAGAACTCATGTGATGTATTTAACAGTAGACTGGACACAACATAAAACAGATTCAGTAAGCTCGAAGACAATGAGTAAAAAAACGTCCAAACTTGGGCACAGAGGGGCAAAAGAATGGGGGGAAACAGAACAGAGTACAAAAGGGGAATGTAGGACAAAGAACAAAAATCGAACATATTTTTTCATTGGAGTCCCAGAAGAAGAAAGAATTGGATGAATAGTTGAAAATGACCAAGAGTTTTCTAAAACTGATTTAAAAAATATTAATCAACAGATTCAGTAAGTCCAGTGAATCAAACAGATTTTTTTAAATCAGTCTCTATTCAAGAGGTTTGCAAGGGAATTATATGTTAAGTAGACACCATGTTTTATTTAGGACAGATAGATGAATGAAGTTTAGAAGAGGTTCAACATATAGGGAAATCAGAGATAAAAGATTAGGTATTCCAAAGCTTACAGAAGATGGGTTTTAGAAAGAGTGTGAGGCCTGGCAAATTGGGTCCGATGAACAAGTGTCCAGGGATATGAGGCACAATGGGACTCATCCTGGTAGCCTCCCAGGGGAAGTAGGTAACCAGGTTAGGATAGGTATGTGGGGCCCCAGAAGACTGCTCTTTTGCACTAGCTGGCAATGTGGTAGCAGAGCTGAGTGAAGGACTCCTCAAGAGAACAACATCTTAAACAATAAGGAGCGCTTCTGAGGGCCTCCTTTCTCCACGGGCAGAGCAATGCAGTAGGCTGGTGAGGAAGGGCTCACACTGAGGAAGAGCCAGGGATGCCTCTTGCAGCTTTGTAATGTTACAGCAAGTGGAGAGCAAGGCGAAGAGCAGCTCTCACTTCCCTGATGCTCCCTGACCCGCAACTCAAATCCACTTCTGCTACCTGCTCCATGGCCAACCTGGACTATCATCACTCAGAATGGCTTTATCCTGAATCTTAAATACAAATATTTCACTTTCTGACTCCTACCTCCTACTTTTCCAGCTCCCTCACTCACTTACTCCCTCTAGCCCTCTTCACTCACCCCTCAGGAGCCTGTACTTTCTACCAACATATCAGTATTATGTTTTATTCTCATTTCCTAGTCCTTAGAGTCTGTGGCCCATCACTTCGGGCACTCTCAAAAACCTAGCGCCTCACCGTTGCCCTTCCATTCTATATGCCTGGCAAACTCCTATCCTGGATGAAGTCAACTTGTATTTATGTACCTACATGTGGTTTACTGAGTGCTACTTGAGAAAATCACACAATTGGGAAGATGAGTACATGCTCTCTACATATTTTCAAACATAATTTTATAAAGGTAAAACAAATGAAATGCATCACAAAATTTAAAACAATACAGATGTATATAGAGTGAAAAATGAGAATTCTCCTCTAAAACCATCCCCCAAAACATCTGCTGTAAATAGTTTGGCATATGTTCTATGCATGTATTATTCTTACATATAGATACATATATACATTTAAACACACCTATACATTTATATACATATGTATGTATACATACACAGCTATACATACATACATATGTGAAATCTGATAAGTAGCTAGATTTTAGTAGACACTTTGATGGACAACTTGTATTTTCTTTTTTAAAATTCAATATGTCTTGGGGAGCTTTTCATCTCAAAAGGTACAGATATCCTTAATTCTACATAATATCCTGTTCCTGTATTCACATTTAGGTTATTTACTATTTTCACTATTAAAAATGTTATGATGAGTATCTTATACAAACTTCTAATCCTACATGCAGGTATAGCTCTATAGTGGATCCCTAGAAGTGGAAATGATCGGTCAACGTCAGATGTATTTAACATTTTATTAAATTACCACCCATAAAAGAGGGGAACTGTACCAAATTGCCCTCCCAACTGCATAGGAGCGTCACTACCCCAGCTGGGCTCTCCATACTGCTCACCTTCTCTTTCCTTCCCTAGACTTCTCTCTGCCTCATGTCCCCATACCTCACCTCTGTTCCCTTTATCCCTACCCAAACATACACATTCTTGGCAAACATCTCACCAAATATTTGTAAAAAAAAAAAAAAAAAAAAAGCCACCAGAGAACTTTCTTGACGTCCTACGAAACTGCCCACTCCTATCCTGTCCTTCCCGCCTGTTATGACGGTGAGGAGTGGGGGCAGTCCTTCCTCCGGTTTAAGAAAATACTAGGTGTGGGATCCTTCCCTTCACAAAAAGCTGGCTACTTTCCCTCCTAAGGTCTCCTCTTCCCCTTTCTCCTTGGCTAACCCCAATCTTCTGCCTTCATCGCTCCATTGGAACCTCAGGCTGGCCTTGGGCCGTACCCACCAGACCCCTTCAGGTCCTTATCTTAGTGGACACCATTGCCCACTCTCTTCATAAAGACACACTCTCCTGGTTTCCTTCCTTTGTCCCTAAGGTACTTCTTTCTCACTCCTGATCTTGTCTTCAGGCTCTTCTCCAAACCTTCAAAGCTGGAGTTTGGAGTTTCTGTCCTGGGGCCCTGCGCTCCTGTTATGCCCAGATTTCAAAATCCCCAAAGACAGACCACCAGGGAGCCGAGTCCGATGCAAAAGCAAAGAGTCATTTATTCAAACTAGCTAGTTTGGTCCCTCTGCCTCCCTCACTGACACAGTGGAGTGACAGGAAGCAAGAGAGCCCGGAGTCTTGGGAGAACAAAGAATTTATAGGGCTTGGGTCAGGGGGTGGGGGCTTACTCGGACCACTGATTTGGCCGATTCCGGTTGGTTGAGTGATGGCCGGGGGGCTAATGACGCAAGGGTAGGGTGCAGCTAGGGTCTGGTTACACAAAGACAGGAGGTGGCTAGCATACTTTTGGCCTTGGGCTAGTTTCCTTGCGTTCCTATTGGCTGAGATAAGGGCTGGCTGAGCAACTGAT